TGAACACCTGAGCCTATATCCATAATTCCTAGATCTACTTTTTAAAATGGATGCATCTGCTTACACAGTATAAAAGCCTAAAGTCTAATTACATAAAATATAAAATGATGAACTGGAATGACATCATTCACCAAAAAAAGTTCCCTTCCTGATGGTTCGGACTGTGTTCCCCACAATCCTATCTAAATGTAATTAACTTATCAAAGGTCAGTGTGACCTGTGAGCATTCATTTGTAAAAACATTAGCAGATTGTCAACTCAGCCATAAGGCAATCTAAACCATACTCAATCTTTAGAGTAATCAGCAAACTGTTCCACCTCACTATAACGTATCGGTCACAATTAGCAATAGGCATTATCTGGGTTTTGCAAAATATATAAGCTGGATCCTGCATTCAGAGCAGATGCTCTCACCTGAGAAGTCAGATATGACATTCACTCAGTTGTTGAATGAAATTATTTTTTAATTATTTGAACTGGACAGTAAATGAGTTGTCCTGAGCTACTTTTACTTTGTAAAACAGTAGTCAGTAAATAATGTCTTCTGTGCACGGAAAACACAGAGGACATAATTAGTTACACAAAAAGTGAGATCTGAGGAAATGTCACCTGAAATCATTATAAAGCAAGGCTGCAACAACTTTACAAGGGTCGGCATTTCGTGACCTTTTAATACCAGTTAGACGTGGAACTCTTTTTGCTGCAAAATGGAGAAAAAAAAACATGGAAAAATGGTTGATATTTATTTCATTTCAAGATACTGTCTATTTGGCCTATCTGTCAAATGCTGATAGTTTGATTTCAATTCTCTGCAAATTGCAATTTGGCCACAGTGTCACTGTTTAGAGGTACAATTCAAAGAATTAAGAAACTAAGAGCATAACCAGCAATAAACTATTCAAGCATCCTCTGGAAAGCACAAAAGCACAAAATGTAATATAATACACAGTCACTATATGGCTCAGAGCAGCCAGCACAAAACAGGAGTAGGATTGAACCTCATTACAAGGCAAAGGTACCACTGGGAATCCAAACCCGGCATCCATTTAATACAAACTTTGATTAGCAAGTAAGATATGAAAGTTTAATTTTAATTGAATTAAACAAGAACACTGCAGAACAGAAAATAAGTGGAAGAGTTGTATCTGGACAAATACAGTACAAAAGGACTGGTCTCTAACCTCTTATCACTCTGGAGCACAGATCCAGCTGTTACAGACACAGGTTTGAGTACAGCAGCATCGTCCTAGTATTTATTTTAAACCTCTATTTAACACACAGGATATGTTTTGCCTCCTGTTATTTAAAAAAATACTATTTAGTTGAACTCTAATCTTGAGCCATTCTAAATAAAATACTGCTAGATGATTACTTACTGTATATATGGAGGTTCTGCAGACTGGTTCCCCTATATTTTAATAATTACTTGGTTGTTTACTGTACAAAGTCCTTCTGCATCCTCACCTAGAGTGATTCTGCTGAAATGTTGGCACTTTTTGAAAATGTATCTCAAGATTGCTGTTAATAATAGCAAAAAAAAAAGTATCCATACAGTGTCAAACCAGAGGTTGTAAATGCTGATGTCAGCAGCATTACTTACAGTATTATCAGCACATCATTTCAAGTCACATGTTACAACCCTGGAGGTGGTGAAAGGTACAAATGACACAACTGCAAGAGTTAAACTGAAACAGTGAATTACCCCATTATCGATACAAAGCTCTCTTTTGTTCTAGAGGAAACAACTGTGTTATTCAAAAGACTAGTTAAAGCCCTAATTAACTTTTCTACAGTGACGTCAATTGGAAAATATCTGGACAGGATTAACTTGTAAATATTAAATTCAATTAAGCCAATGTGAAGCTGTGATTCAATTAACATTTTTCTTTATGTTTAGATCTGTCCTGCTATCACTCCATTGGCCTTGGTCAAACGAAGCTTAAAAAGCAAAGCACAGCAGATGAGGCAGCAACTACAGTACCTGTTCAAGGCTGAGATCTATGGTACATTTCTCCTTCACCTCCACTCACCTGTCATTAAGAATTCCTATCTCCCAGCGTTTAATTACAGATGAACAACAAATAGTGTTACAAGATGAGAAAGGTGTCATAAAATCGAGCTGGAAGAGGAGAGCACATTTGCTCAGAGATTCTAGTATAACTAAGGGAAGCTGTAATGATAAGACAAGTTTGCAGTGCCAATGTTAAGTCTTTCATGTAAACAGCTTCTCTGCTTGTCAATCAGAAAAGAACTGCTGTTTTCAAGTCTTTTGAAATTATTTTACTGGAAAAATAGCCGCGTATTCCACACAAAAAAGAAGAGTCTGTAATTAAAATCTTCTGGAAACACAAGCAATACATACTGTAAATGGGGTTGCAATTTCACTAAAAAAAGCACGTTACACTGCTCTGTTAAGCTCAAAATAATCATTCCCCTAGTTTGCTAATTAGAGCACAACTGTTAGAGTATTTAATCTTTAAAATACATTTGTACTAAAGTTGCAGTGACAACCCTAATTTTTGAAAGGGTGATCGGGGAAAAGTTCACTCTCATGGAGACTCCTGGCGTTTTCATAGATTACTGTCGTATGTCAGGATGCATGATTACACACCTCAGACAGCTAACCTAAACACCAGCAGTGATCATCAATTACCAGAAGGCCTGGGATTTCATGTTTTTTTACACATAGAAGACAATTATGCAATCAGATTTAGTCAGAACTCCCTGTCTCTGAGGAACCTGCACTGGATTCAAAAAGCAGTAAACCTGCAAAACTATGTTCTCTCCAGAAATCAGCCGTTTAACCCAAACAAACTTACCTCGATACATACAGGCAAAGCAATAGCCTATCTTTTCACATTTCTAGAACAATCTATCAATCTTTCAAAACTGAGCATACCTGATGAAGGCTCCAGCAGCTTACCTGGGGGGTCACCCATCCAGGTGCTGACCAGACTCAACCTTGCTGAGCTTCAGGGGGCTGCCAGCTGAGAGCTGCAGGGTGATATGGCTACTGGATATACTATGAAACGTATTATTTAATAAAATCACTGTCATGTGTTTCAAAAATTGTACATTATATTTGGATATCTAGTGTGTATTCTCATGAGTCTTGACTGTTAGGATGATGACAGACCACATCGGATGCTACAGTGCAACTGCAGCTTCTGCACTTTACAGGTGTCCGTCACTTGTTAAGATATGGGTGCAGCAGGACCCTTTTTTGTCACGGCTGAGCTGACAAGCCTGAGGCTACGCTAATAGACTCCTGACATCAGCTTCACAAGGAGACCTCAGTGCTGCTGGGGACGATGCACTTAACAGACTGTAGTAACCCTGGTGGTACTCCTGTCCCTGCGTCATCATTTGAAGTTCACGACAGAAGTGGCACAAGGATCGTTTTTTTTGGGGGGGGGGGCATATTTTTACTTTTTTATATTCTTTTTCGATTGGACGAAATCGCATTTGAATCAAACGACTCTTAGAATTAATCTTTAAAACACGCGTTTCGATTACCTTATAAACTACCAGACGGAAAGTAAATTGATTCCACGCTAAAAAGTAGAAAGGCGAAAACCATTTCGGTAGCAGAGCCGAATTGGACGTAAAAAGTACATTGCTCTCCCTTAGTAAGAGTGTTTCAGGTACATCTGCCAAAAGACTTGGTTTGGTTTTAGAACACTTACATTGCTCTAAACGGACGAACAAATTAAGGCTTTTTTGTTAGGTTTCTCAAGATTTCACGACAACTGCGCACAGGGGGGAAACGGAGACACGCCGATATACTTTGAGTTTGACCAAAAAGATGTAAAAAATTTTAAAATTGTAGACAGTCCCCAAACGGTTCTCCACTCGGTAATCTGAAAACGCTAGTATAATACCAGTTTTGATGGGTTAATGATTGGTAAAGTTGCTAAACAACCCCAGATCAACTGGACACTTATTAAGGTTTTCCACAATGCCTCTTCGTTAAAACGCAAAATAAATCTACACGGTATGGATGAATCGTACATATTCTGCTTTGCCCTAATCGTATTTCCGGCAGATATGATTAAATCCCCACAAAGGGGACTTTTGTTTTATGCTATTTACTTTTCGGCGTAGAAATGAAACTTCTCTTGTTCCCAATTGTGATCTTGTCGGATTCTTTTAGTTTTTACTTAAGCTCCACACAGCAGGCACAAAGCGATACTAGAGTATTTCCACAGCTGCGGCTATTTTAAAGTTGAAACTATTCAATTATTTTCTCAGCCGGCTGTTTTCTCCGAGAGTTCCTGCGCCCCTGTCAGGCGCATCTTTCTGCGCTGCGCGAATACCTGTTGTCTTTCTCGCCCTGCTCGCCTGTAGCCTCCGGTGTAAATGTTTTTTGTCCGCGGATCTTTGCAGCTGAAGATAAATAGCATGTGTAAAAGTGGCAATAATAAATAAAACTCCAATAATAAACGCCGTTAGAGCATGTTTCGGAAATAAACCAGGTTTAATGCACCACAGATCCATGACAGATTCTAAAGAAAGAAACGCGTCCACGACTTTGACAAGTTTCAGGGTTGTATTTTCACAGTACATTTTCTAAACTGTAATAACCGATCACACAGCGTTGCAGTTTACCACCTCAATACAATGTTTTATACACGGGTTTAAAAAAACTCGAACTTATAACACATCCATACAGGTGAAAGACACACTGTTAGCCTGAGCGATTGCTGGCACTGCAGCCATGCTATGGCATCTAGCATTTATGTCAAAACTCGTCAGTATCTTAAGAAAATGCACCAATGAAAGTGCACTACCTGCGCTCCGCGTGGTCAAATGGTGTATTTGTAAAGCTATAATAAAAGAAACCCAATTCTCACTTGAGTGAATGAACAGAATATGTGTGCAAAAGATGCAAATAATTCTTTAAAAAGATGTTTTTAAAAAAGTGAAAATTACAATATTTCGTCTATCACAAGGCACAGCAGACATTAAAAATAACTTTTCAGCAATAAATGAGCTCTTACCTTACGAGCTTATGACATCGGTCTGTAACTGTCGCTTTAAAACAATATTATTAATAGTCTTTATTTCTTTCCAGCAGGAGACTTATCGGAAACCAAACTGAAAACGAAATCAGGATCGTTTCTTCCCGGCTCTTGCGCTAGATAACGCGTGCTGATGGTAAACACTGAAGAAGTTTGTGTTACCATGAGAGGCTTTTGCCCGGCATCTACAGAAACCTCTGCAGTTTTTCCACAAGCCCTGCCTTGCATGCTTTAAACATTATACAGTGCAGCATTTGTCTAAAGCCTAAAAGACGATTTGTCTTGTTCCACCTGATCGCGCGTCATTTCCAAGCCCACATACTGTATCTTCAAAGCGCTGTCAGACTATGTGTTTGTGCTCCGTGCTGCAGGGCTTGTCGCGCAGAGAGGAGGAACGATCTCTATTTCTGCTCACCTTTGAGGTTTAAAGTCTTCTCATTGGTGCTTTGCGGTTAAAAACTAGTTCATTAAAAACTATGTTCGTTTTCATATTGAAAGCAAGAAAATACACAATGCGCGCAGGTACAAATTGCATTTACCGCGGGAGTCTCTTCCACAGTCACCACCACTGCCACTCGTCGTTAGAGAAAAACGACGTTTACCTAAAGTTACAAATGCTCCCCGCACATGCAGTATACAACGTGTGCGAGTTCGCTGTTGGCGTGAGAATCGGAAGGCGTTTCAAAATGTGATTATACTGTAACGCATACGGCCCGACACTGCAGGTTGTGCGTTACCATGTTTTCAAGCTTTAACCTCAGCAGTAATCGGGGACTGTCTGCAGTTGTTATTTATGTACTGTACATGTTTTGGAAAATGGTGTCGAAAGCAGAGATGTGCTGGATGAATCGCGATTCACTGTTAATATAGAAGATCGATTTATTTAATTACATTACTGAAAAGCAAGTCGTGTTCCTCTCTTTGGAATACGAACCAGCAACCTTTCAGCCACAGGCACAGATCCTTAGCCACAAAACCACTGCATTCGATTATAAACACTACCCCTCTCCCATGTGTGTGTTCATATCACATACCAAAGTGTGACTATTAGATCACAGTAATGTATTCCAAATGCCACGATTTCTCATATATTTCAAGCAGTTCTCTAAAAGTGTGGTTTTCTGAAATGCTTTCATCACTGTACAGAAAAGCTCCCTCCACCAGAAAGGATGTTGTCTATAGAAAGATAGCTGGTGAGGTAACTCAGTGCTCTACGCTCTCAGATGTAGCTGGTCAAAAACTTACACATTCCTCTGTGTAAACTTGTTTATCATTCTTTTGCACAACAGCAGCCTTCTTGTGAGCAGCACTGAAAGTAATGTGATCTGGATAACATCCACTTAAAATGTACTTGATATAAAAGACATCTACTGTTGGCCCTCATGATAAAACAAATGGTTGTTTTATATTCAACTATTCTGAGAATCTCTGAGACTATAAATTTAATAGGCCTTTTTCATGGACCATGACATCTGATTTTCAATGACTTTTTTTGAGCTTGTGACATAAAGGGGCCTCTTTATTTGCTGCATAAAGGTTTGACATTGCAAGGGCAATTTGGAAAGTAAACAGAAATTTTATTATATACAAAATCAGCCAAGTCACGTTGAACTCCACTTGGCAAGTTAGCTCCCATCAGTGGTATTTGGAATTATTTTGAAATATCCACATATGCCCTTCTCCGAAATACTTTGAAACATGTGGTGAGGAGGAGAAAAATCCAGTTTTCTATATGTTCCTTTTTTCCTCATTGTACATTGTGCCAATAGTGGAGATGTGCTGATGCAAAGTGGACATACTGTAAGAGCTCTCACCAGTATGTATGCTGTCTTGGGCACTACGTGACACTACATTTCTCCGCATGATGTGGCTCTGTGGCTCAGGCTCTGCACCTGTGGCTGGAAGGTTGCTGGTTCAAATCTTGCAGCTGGCAGAGGAATCCTACTCCATTGGGCCCCTGAGCAAGGCTATTAACCACACTTTCTCTGGGGGTGCTGTATAAATGTCTGACCCTAAGCTCCTCTTCTTGTCTGTGTGTCTCATGGAGAGCAAGTTGGGGTATGTGAAAAGACAAATTCCTAATACTAGAAATTGTATATGGCCAGTCAAGTGATCTGATGCCCTGCCCACAGCACTGCAGCAAGAGATAAGGAGTCAGAGTAGTTACTGACTATTCAGCAAGGTCTAAAGCTTGAACTTGAGCAGCTTTTCAAAACATGGCCATATGCAAGCCTTACTAGGAGTAACAGTAACAAACAATCCCTGTTAAGGATGACAAGCGATGGGATGGTATCTGTGTTCCAGAAATGTCCAGATATCGATAATGAAGATACTGCCAGGGCCAAGTTAAGACCCAGCATGGCAGATGTATCAGGCGTAACAGAGGATGGTCATGTCTGAGCCGAGATTTTTGCCCCAGTGGGTATGAACTAGTACCAAGCTTCTCTAGAATCCTTTAGTTCCATTGAGGGACACTATCTTACTTTAGGTGTTGTGTTGTGTCGAAACTCTGTCTCTCAATAATTGTTTTCTCTTTTTTTTTTAAATCGGGGCTTCTTCGGTTCATTTTCAAAGTAGTTTGCCTTCATCTGTTCACCAATTCATTTCATGAAAAGGCCATCTCTGTGCTACTCAACCAATGAAACATCTCTGTGGATTGAAAACTGCATTCCTGTTAATCTTTTATTTTTTTATTTCACATTTCTTATTCTCTGTTCCCTGGAAAAAGAAAAGCATGGGGCTATGAATTGTTGTCCTTTTCTAATCCTTAACAAGAACAATAATGAAGGATTATGCCATTTTTAATACAAGTGTGGTGTATTCTGAGAATACAGGAGAATTGCTGTTGCACATTGTGGAGTTCAAACCAAAATATTAATCACAATAGCTCTGCTTGTGATTCTATATTGTTTCAGAGCCAGCAAAGGTTTGTGTGAGTCCAAAGAAAAGGGTGTGTTTGCCATGTTCAGAGGTTGCCTATACAGTAGTTAATACAAGAGGTTAACACCAAACCAAGACATGACTGGACACTATACAGGCCAGACAGCAAACAAATAGTCAGACAAGGAGCACAGGTCTGAGCTGTAGCCCTGTAACAAATACAGGGAAGTAACCAAAGTTGGAAATAAGGTCAAATACATTTGAAGCACATATGTTCATAAATATAAAAGGACAAATTAATTACTCACTTAAAAGGTATAAGGGTATAGTGAATGGATTTGGTCAAATAGCCCTAGAGAGAGATACTTGTAAAGCAAACCTTATTTGTAGTAATACTAAGGGCTATTGAGCAAATCTCAATAAAGATAGCACTATATTTTCCCACATGTTCTCACAGATGTTTAAATACCTCACTGATTTCTATTCAGTGTTAATATCACAGTATACACAGTAAAAGGCTAAAGAGGCTGTCTTACTCATTTTGAGATGTTTTCTCTAACCCACTTAGAGAGTTTTTGAGGCATTTCAGGACCTCTTAGTGAAAAGTGGTTGTTAGTTCAAGGATGCGGAAAATATTATTTAGCCAAAGCACTTGTTACGATGGTGCAATTTAGAGAGATTCTTTATTATCCCCAAGGGGCAATTTGTTTTTCAGAAGCAGACAATATACACATCACACAAAAACAATACACACAGACACGCACAAAGCGTTGTCTGTTAAGTGAAGGTATAGCCACAGGTAAAGAAATGATAACTTAATCCTGTTTGTTTTTAGATTGGGAAATCTGTCTCTGTGTTCTGAGGGAGTCATTGGAACTCATTAAACAGAGAGTGTGAAGGACCCTCTAGAATGGAATATGCTTTATACAAGACTTAATTCAAAACTTTATTTAGTTGTTGTGGGTGGTGCTCTTGAAGTGTTCATCCCTGCTATATGTTAAGAACTTCAAGAGGCAGGTTATATAAACGTAAGTGTAACATAAATGCAAAAGCATTACTTTCCTGTACCAAAACTAGTGCATAGGAGAAAGCACCGACTTCCCCTTCTGCTGTGAAAAAAAAAACATTTTCAGGATGTTAACTATGGGGAAAAATCACAATCATGTTATTGTACCTTTCACAATATAAAACCACATTGCATTTGAGAATCCTGCTTTTCTCTCTTCAAAGATCACTTTAATTCAGCAGTACAATCCATCCCACCCTTAGATGAGGTCTCTCCACCCATAAAACCCACTGGGGTAGTGCCTGTAACATGCAGGGGTGTACTGTATGTAGATACAGTACTGCATACTGTATAAAAAAAGTGAAGACTGTCTTCTCGATTTCTGTTAAACATTAGCAAATCTCTCCAGACTGTTTTCTTAACCCCAACCACCACTAACACCATGAAAGTCCAAACATCACTAAGTAATACCTATGTGAGAAAGTGTGATCTACTATTCACCAATAATATAAGAATGAAGTGACTGATACTGTCACAAACACTTCTTTCCGGGCCCTGTGCAGACGACACGATCCGGAAGGGAGTGAGGAAACGCTAGGAAAAAGTCATGCAGGAGAGGGTCTGGAGACAGGGGGCGTGTCCGAGGGGTGCAGGTGTCCAGGGAGAGTGAATCCGGGGCGAACAATCCATGAGAAAATCCAAACGGGTCATCCGAGACAGAAGGTAGAGTCCAAGACCAGGGGATCCATCCAGGGAATAAAACCATGAACCGGGTCGGGACAGGCGGGGCGGAAAATGAAGAACAGAAGGTTCTCACGAAGCGGAATTCAATGAGGAACCAGGAGTGACGTCTGCGTCTGGCTTTTAAGGTGGAACGGAAATAGGAACCAGGTGAAGGTTATGGGGCAGAACACGGAAGGGCTGGAGAGCCCTTAAGAGGAGGAGTAGCGATCGTGACAGATACCTCTTGATGGGTCCCTTGCAGGACTCTGTAATAGGTCCCCTCACTAGTCACACTATACCTACTCGAATTTCTTCAACCTGTTTCTGCTGCGACCCACTATGCCTTCCACCAAAATCTTGCCCCTCTCATTCCGTCTCTTCACAGCGATCTGTTCCAAGACCAGGCTTTCTCACCACCTCCTATTCCTTCACAGACGTCAACGAGATAATATAATTCCTAAAGTAGCTTCTCTGAAATTCAACACCTTTTCCTCCAACTCGGACACCACCCAGAGTAATGCTCAGAGATGTCTTCAACTATGTTCCAAGAAATAAATGCTTTCTACCATTTTTGTCCCTAAAACCATGTCACTCTTTCTGACAACAACAGCAAAGGTATTTTCTTTTCCTATCAGCGTGGAATAAACCTTTACCTGTTCCTTGGTTTCCACCTGGATACAGTGCTCTGTGACAGCAGCTTGCTCCTGGTTGCGTATTGTGAGACCAGGCTTCCACAAGCAGTGATTCAGGTTATGTGATTTTTTTTTAGTTATGTGCTTTGTCAGTAAACCTTTTCCATTATCCCTGTGCTAAAACTCTCCCAGTTCCCCTGTTGCTAATCTGTAGGACTTTTGTCAATATACTGTATGCAGGTGTCTTTTTTAGCACATTAAAAAATTCATGAGGCAC